GTCTACACCGACCACCGGAACCTTGAAAGCTTCATGACAACCAAACAACTGACAAGGAGGCAAGCGAGATGGGCCGAAACCATGGGATGCTTCAACTTTGAGATTGTTTTCCGGCCGGGCCGACAGTCGTCCAAACCGGATGCTCTGTCCAGACGACCCGACCTGGCGCCTTCAAAAGAGGACAAGCTCACCTTTGGACAACTGTTGCGACCCGAGAACATCACACCCGACACTTTCGCTGAAGTGGATGAATTCGACTGCTGGTTTGAAGACGAGTCTGTGGATCTGGATGACGCCGAACATTGGTTCCAAGTGGACATTCTTGGTGTGGAAGAGCCCAACACTCCGTCAGAGGATATCCCAACAGACAGCGAACTGATAAGCCAAATCCGATCTCTGACTCCATCTGATTCCAGACTGACTGAATTGATTTCAGCCTGTGAGAACCCAGTGTCCAGTCGTATGAAGGAGGCCACCAAGCATTACTCGGTGAAGGACGGAGTGCTCTACAGGAGCGGACGGATTGAGGTACCCCGGAATGACGACCTCAAGACCAAAATTCTGCGGAGCCGCCATGACAGCAAGTTAGCAGGACACCCAGGAAGGTCAAAGACGCTCTCGCTGATACGCCGCAGCTTCACGTGGCCATCCATGAAAAGCTTTGTCAACCGCTACGTGGATGGCTGCGACTCTTGTCTTCGGGTCAAATCCTCAACCCAGAAACCATTTGGGACGTTGGAACCGCTGCCCATCCCTGCAGGCCCGTGGACGGACATTAGCTACGATTTGATAACAGACCTCCCCCTATCCAACAATTGCGACAGTATCCTCACTGTGATTGACAGACTGACTAAAATGGCCCACTTCCTTCCTTGCAACAAGTCCATGAACTCTGAACAGCTTGCAGATCTCATGTTGAAACAGGTTTGGAAACTCCACGGCACCCCAAAGACAATTGTCTCGGACAGAGGAAGTATTTTTATCTCTCAGATCACACAAGAGTTAGACAAGCAACTTGGAATCCGGCTTCATCCTTCGACTGCGTACCACCCCAGGACTGATGGACAATCTGAAATCGCAAATAAGGCGGTGGAGCAATACCTACAGCACTTTGTTCAGTACCGACAGGACAACTGGGAACCGCTCTTGGCAACGGCAGAATTTGCTTACAACAATAATGATCACGTCTCAATTGGAGTCTCACCATTCAAGGCAAATTACGGCTTCAATCCTTCCTACGGCGGTATCCCATCAAATGAACAGTGTCTGCCGGTAGTTGAAGAACGACTCAAGCAAATTGATGAAGTCCAGTCAGAACTCAAGTTATGTCTAGAAGCAGCTCAAGAATCGATGAAGACCCAATTCGACAAAGGAGTAAAGGACACCCCAATTTGGAACGTTGGCGAGGAGGTTTGGTTGAACAGAAAGAATATTTCGACAACAAGACCCAGCCCCAAGCTGGACCACCGATGGCTGGGACCATTCCAAATTTCTAAGAAAATATCCCAATCTGCGTACAAGCTGACTTTGCCATTATCCATGCAGGGTGTTCACCCAGTGTTTCATGTTTCAGTACTGCGGAAGCACAACCCGGACACCATCACTGGAAGGCGCCATCCATCACCAGAACCGGTACAGGTCAACAATGAGGAGGAGTGGGAAGTGGAAGGAGTGCTGGACTGTCGGAGAAGAGGGAAGAAGGTCGAATACTTGGTCAGCTGGAAAGGCTTTGGACCGGAGGAGAACTCGTGGGAACCCGAGGTCAATTTGGAGCACTGTCAAGAACTGGTAGCCGAATTCAACATCAAGTTCCCGGAGGCGGCGTCAAGACACAAGAGGTCACGGAGAATGAAGTGAGAGGGCAAGCTTTTTCCCACTGGGTTTTTTAACGCTGCCCGGGGAAAGAATGCAGAGCCAAAAGAGGAGGAATTTTTTTTATTTTGTTATTTTTTATTCATAGTAGGTGTTGCTAGAACAACAACGGGGGGCGGCTTGGGCATTAAAGGGGGGATAGTGTTATGAGCTGTGGAGGACTGGAACTGGGGACGTTACATATGTAGAGAGCCTGTTACGTACATGTCACGAACTTCGAACTTGGAGTTCGTTCGAGATCCGAACCTTGTACATCCCTCATCTTGCAATCTACCATCAAGAACCAGAACCCTGAAGATCCCTTCCTGCTCTCCCCAGAACACCCATAACACTGTTTCCATTTTTCCTTAATGTTTCCTCTCCTTCAGTTTGCTTCATGTCTTGTGTCATCTCAGTTTCCAATGCTAGCTTATGTTTCCTCTCCTTCTGTTTCTCTCAATGTGGGTTTTGACTGCTAAGTGGTGTACATAAAACTCATATTTTGCTTGATTCATCAATCAATTGAATATGACTAGCAGTGATTTCTGCTTTTGATGATATTTGGTCATTTTGCCATTTTTTCCTCCTTTCATTGGAGAATGGTTCCCTGGATTCTTATATCTCATAATTACTTTTGATTTTCTGTTTTGTGATGTTATTTTTTGTAATTTAAACTACAATACTATTGTATTGTATTTTATTGCATTCCATATTTTATTTTATGGAATGGCTTTTTGCCATTTTCCTTTTTTATTTTTACTTGATTTGATTTTATCCAAGGGGCCCCTTTATTCAATGAGGTTGAATTTTTAAATAAATTGATGGATTTATTTTCCTTTTATTTTAAAGGTCTTTTTTTCACTAACTTTGACGGTTTTCTTTTTATTTATATATATAAGTTTTTTTTATATACATATTTTTTTATATTTTTTTTTGTTTTTTTTATTCGGAGCGCCGACTCCCTTTTATTGGAGTCACGACTCCCAAATCCCCCCGGGGGATTTTTTTTTTATTTTTTTTTTTTATTTTTTTCGTTGGAGTTCCGACTCCCAAAATAGTCGGACCTTTTAGAGGTCCGACTCCCAAATTTTCGGGGAAAAAAAAATAGGGGGTTTGACGTCAAGAGGACCGTCCGCAGCTGGTCCTCTCGACGTCCCAAATATTTGGGAGTTGGAACTCCAATATTTGGGAGTTGTTTAACTAAGACCCTAAACATAATCCGGGTATGAAGTATTTCTTTCTTTAGTTGATTGTGACTTCTTTTTCAGTATCTAATATCAATTGTTATAGCTCTGGTTTTCCTTTTTCAGTAATTAAATCTAAGGTTCTTTACACGACCCGTGGGCATTCTGGGCCCGAAGGGTGTGAAGCTAACAAGGAGCTGCTTGATGGCCTCCTTTTGGCTTTCAAGTTAACGGGTTTCGCTTGGAACCGCGATTGCAAGATGAATTTTGCGATGTTGGAGTACCATGTCTTGGCTATCGGCAGTCCGAAAGGACTTTTAGCTACACCACGGGACTATTCTGATGTCCCATGGACGCTCTTCTGGACATCATCTGAGGTGTCCAGAACTTGCAGGGCAGAGAGTGTCCATTGGACACTACTCTGCCTGACAGTTTGCGGACGTTTTCTGGAAAACTGTCCACTGGATAGTTTTCAAGCCGTCCACTGGATGCTTTTTTTTTCTGCAATGAAAACAAAAAAACAAGCACACCCAGATTTGAACCCATGACCTCATGGAGGTGCCACTGCACCACCCCAAAGCCTGTCCTTACTGACTACCACCACGGTCATTTGCGTGTCGCCGCGGATGTAACCGTCACCTTGACGAATCCGCTTGCGTGACTGCGGCAGTAGGCGCAGTGACTGCGCACGAAACCCCCAATGAAACCCCCAGATGTCGCTCCGCGCGGGAGCGACATCCAATTGTCCGTGGTGTACACTACACAGAATTATTCTTGCAAGCAGACCCAAACTGTTGCTCATAGACCGAATTCGCACTTTGGAGTAAGCCACTTCACAGCCTTTTTTCATGATCAAGTGCATTTTTAGAGATTTTTTTGACAATCACATCACTTGCACTTTTGGAGTGTTTTTCGACGATCAACCGCACTTTTGAAGTGTTTTTCGACCATCGACCGCATTTTCAGAGTGTTTTTTCGACCATCGACCGAACTTTTGAAGCTTTTTTCGACCATCAACCACCGGCTCCAATCAGGAATTGTAACTCAAAGTGTCCAATGGACACACTGAAAACCGTCATCCATCGGACACTCTTGGTTGGAGAGTGTCCAATGGACGATAGATCATAGCGTCCATCGGACGCTCCATATTTGGCCAGCGTCACTTGGATGCTTTTGGAAGCATCCAAGTGATGCTGGCTCGCCAGAGCGTCCCTCGGACGCTCTGATCGCATCCGTTGGACGCTCTCTTCAGGAAAGCGTCCAGCGGATGGGGCCAGTTTCAAAAAACTGGCCCCGTGGTGTACATTGACAAACTACACCGACTTGTCCCTATAACAATCCACTCGAAACCCCTCGGCAATTCCCGGCCGATCTTTGGTTGATCCCAGCTCCCTATTGTATGTATTCTTCCTGCAGGGAGTGCTAACGGAGACAAACCCCGGTTCATGTCAGCAATGATAAGCTTAATCATTCTTATCAGCATGCAAAATAGAAATGTGCACATCAAGGCGAGTTTGTGAGGAACCAGAAAAATAAATAAAGGGTAGGTTATGCATCAACTCAGTTTTGTTTCCGGTTCTAGTAGATCGTAGGTCTTATTCTCGATTGAAGTGTCCCCTACCTCAAGCCTGGCGATAGCCGGCGATCAGCTCACAGACATTTTTGTTACTGGGGTTGTAGTAATTTTGTGTGGAGTCCTTAGGAATGCCACACTGCTGTCTCTCTGGTTGTTGTTTGGGAATGCTCTGGAAAGCTGCAAGCTGCGTAGAAACATAAATTTAGAGATCAGTTGTGTCCATCGGAATCGGAGGATGCTGTTGATGGCTCGTTCCAGGCTGTCAAGTGAGGTCAAGTGAGCTTCATGAAATTTCAACCCCGTCGTTGGTTTTGAGTCTCATTCTTGACTTTGCTGATAGAATAATATTGAAAAATAGCAACTCCTATGTATCCTTCAAGGCCGACAACATGCCCCTGCTTGATAGCTTCCTAAATGAGCCGGGGATGCAGGAGGGTCACCCCACCGCCAGCCCAATCGGTAGCTGCCTTTCCTCCCCGTGCAAACATCACTTGATCACAGTCACCAAGATCGATGGGACTGCGTGCAATTGGGATCTATACTCCAGAGTATTGGATGGATATAATGATGCAACCCCAAACCTTGCCAAGTGGAACTTGTGTGGCAATCAAAATCTAGATCGGAGTTCCAAGAGTTCTACACAAGTCTTCCTAGGTCTTCCTATCTTCCATACTACACAACCATCCACTGTACACAAATCATGTATCGGAATCGACCGTCACCACCAGCAATTGGACGATCAGGATCTAAGCTTCTGCTCCGGTGTTCAATGTTGGCTTGAATGAACGGCCCGATTACCCGCGAGTCTCATGAGGGGGAGCACACTGTCACATACATAAGGACAAGCTTTCCGTGAATCATCAAAATCGTGGCTTGCAAATATGTATCCTGGCAATGCATACCTTACGATCGGCCGTGGACTCGGCCAGCCTGCCAGGGGAGGGTAGGGCTATCAAGGGAGGATGGATCTGGATGGATGAGTAGATCTGAACTTGTGTGTTCACAACCATTTAGCATTATCGTCGGGCATATGTTCACATCTGGTACAAGAAAAAGCCTCAGCCTCCGGATGCTTTCAAGCTCATCAAAGTTTCCGATTATCATTTTAGTATGTATAACGAATAAAATTGCTCACCACCAGAGTCGTGTGGAACCAGCGCTCTCTGGAGCAGTACTTGGGCTCACTCTTGAACGTCCCAAACAGTGAATAATCCCGAATAACTTCGGCACCCATGGGGTATCTACCGTTGGTCATCTTCACTTTTGCAGAGCCAACATAATTAGTGTTAAGGTATGTATCAACCCTGTTTCAATTTCTAAGACACTTCGACTTGCCGAACCAATTTTCAGGCTGCTGGGGCTGGAAGTAAGCTGGAATGCTCAGAGTGAAAATTTGTTGATCCCTATTGACAGGTCAGTCAATCAGTCAGTCCATCGTCGGCTTGGGATTTGATGGGCGCACCTCGGGAAAAACATTAAAGAAGCATTCCATTAAGTGTCGACCCGAGCGATGTGCCGATAGAGTCTAGAGATCCACACCTCTTGAGGCAGTGAATCGCCTAGTATGGATGAGCCCATTTATCAAATCAGCCGTCTTGTACCTTGAATGGCCATTCTTGCGAGAGCGTCCTCCCGCCGTTTGGAAGCTGACTGCATCGAGCTAATGTGTGCATATTTGCAGAGCGAGGACCTTATATTTATGTAAGGCGATTGGTGGGCGGAATTGCCAACATTCTCCTCTCTGGGTTGCTTGAGCATGTTGGTATATTGTCCATCGAACATATCTACAGGGTTCGCGCCTTTATTTGTTTGAACAAAACCACACACATTCACTTGGCAGTGCTGATACGGGTATGTGATACACAATAGCCCCTCGATAAGCACCCTTTTTGATCCCAAATCATCTCCTTTCTCTCATCTTTTTTTTCTCCTAGGAGACTCGACCAAGTCTGCATTCCCCTTCACGCCGATCAGCACCTCGACACGGATGACTTTCGCTATGTACAGTCGGCGGATGACGGCTGCTGAACTTTAATCCCTTGGTCGCTGACAGCTTCGCAATTTTTTTTCTGTGATGATGTTGCTGATAAATTTCAAATTTTGACTTCTCAATTCCGGAATGGCAAATAAGATCACTCGCTCTTACAACAACATCAGATTAACGACCCCCATAGACCTCGGCACAACAGGCTCTCTTGCGCAGATACACTACATTGGCTGTATACCACTAGCCCCAGTGAAACCACGCCGAGTCGAGAGGAGAACGGGTTTAATACCCTCTCGCCTTTTTTCTCAAAATCATTCTCATCAATCCTGAACCTTTTGAACTACTTTATACATATATCCTAAGTATTCTCACTCATTCTGAGCGGCTTGCTCCTACGAAGTCATTTGCCCGGCGTACGAGAAAGAATTATCACCAACCCCATTGATCAGAGTAGTCGACAGTCGAACCTCACCATCAAAGGAGCTTTGAATTCCACATCCGATACTGACGGATTAGGAAGTTCGCTCTGCAAGTTACGCACTCTCCCCCTACGCCCACGGACAGAAAGCAAGCCACATACAGCAGGTTGCACACATTCGCACTGAGACTGGAGCATGACTCCGATGAAGCTTCCTTGGGGCTCCCGCAATCTCAAAACTTTTATTACCCTAATATTTGCCCTTAATATTCTCCTCTGCCTATCACTCTCCTCTCAGCCGGATTCCAAAGATCACCATATCTCGCCTTCCTCCAGTCCAGATACCCCTCGCAGCCAAAGTCAAGGAGTCCAGGAAAAGAAAAGCCCGCCCTTTTCGAAGAAGCCACTAGCACCAAAGCTTCCCCGGCCTAAACCACCTGCTCAAGAAGATCAACAATCTCCTCCCAAAAGCAAAACGTCTCCCAAGCAAGAAGCTCACCTTCCGAAAAAGAAATCCGCCCAACTGGTCGCGAAGCAGGCAGTTAATCATACCGAAAAGACTTGGTCTAATCACACTTCCCCGACATCATCACACCCTAATCCTTTAAGCGTCCTCACCACTTCGGGTAGATACCTTGGATTCACAAACCAGTCACGACATTCAGTCGACACATGGCTAGGCGTTCGTTATGCCAAGCCACCGATTGACGATCTTCGCTTTCGTGCCCCAGTCATCCTTGACAAAAATCAACTTGATGATGGTAAACTTCAACTGGCTTTCGAATTTGGAGATGCTTGCCCGCAGCCTCCCTTCAATCCTCCCTTAGAGCCGGAGGTAGATATATCAGAGGATTGTCTATACTTGAATGTTTATCGACCCTCGAATGTAACCCATCATTCACTCTTACCTGTGCTGGTTTGGATACATGGGGGTGGCTATACTTATGGCACCGGTGCAAGTACCGATGGAGCTGGTTTGTACAATTTTACCCCTCTAGTTGATTAAGGTTCAAGGACGCGCTATTCACGCTTGAGAACCCTCTTTCTCCCCTCTCCGTCTATTTTTTCTTTCCCCTCTGTGACTTTGACGCATCAAAACAATTGTCCATCAGTCCTCGTTAGTTCCAGCTTCGATTTGGATAAGCCCATAATCTTTGTATCTATGAATTACCGGCTTGGACCCTTTGGATTTGTGCGTAGATTTGTATCCTTAAAATCTTAAAAAGTTATATAGATTTGTCGCTAGAGTTGACATAGACTTGATATTAATGCATTGGTTCTTTTTTTCAGCTTAATACGGAGGATCTCCCCGTCGACGATCTGCAAGTCGGCTTGAAAGATCAAATTGCGTGTCTCAAGTGGCTGAAGCTCAACATCAAGGCTTTTGGAGGGGATCCAAGAAAGTGAGTGGCCTTCCGAATCTTTCTTTCGGGATGAAAAAAAATATCACCGGTCTCAACTACTTGCAATTTTTCTTTCTTGTTGTAGAATCACCTTATGGGGGCAGAGTGCAGGGGCTATTGCGGTTTCTACACTGGTGACTTATTTGTACGATACCCCACATGCCACACTTTTCAGAGCTGCCATCATGGATTCCGGATCACCCACTTCGTGAGTTACCAGAACATCTCAGATTATTACACTACGGACATGCCTATTCTAACACTATTTTCTACTACTTGAAACAAAACGCAACTAGCCACACCGTCCCCCCGGTTTATGTTTATGATCGCGCTGGCATGCCTTACACCCTCCTGGTGAATGGCACAGGTTGTGATGCTCCATCGACTGCGGAGAAAGGTCGCCGGAAATCACGGAAATCTCGTTCTACTCAAGTTGATCGACTCGAATGTCTCAGAGACTTGGAATACAATGTCCTTCTGAATGCCAGTATGACATTGCTCCAAACTCTCCCCTTTTCTCGCCAAGTCACCACCTGGGGGCCGTCCTATAAAGCTGGCTCACTTATCGATCGGCGTCCATCTGAGAGACTTATCGATGGCGATTTCATAAAGATCCCCATGATTTTGGGAACAAACAAAGATGAAGGTAAGCTGTCATTGCCTCGTCTGCTTTGTTGTTGAACTTGACTAAAACAAAAAACTTGACAATTTACATCTGTGATAGGAGCACGTGCCGCAGCTGGACCATCACTTGGTTTCCATGGTCCATTAGAGGATTCGGATACCTACTTTGAATCCTATATGACCAACACCTCCATTCTTGACTTTGAGCGGATAGATAAAGAAGTTTACAAGAAAGTTGGCGAACTTTATCCTGACGAACCATCGCTCGGCTCCCCCTTTGACACGGGAAATAATACATTCGGCCTACCCCGAATTTTCAAAAGGATGGCTGCGTGGTACGGTACGTATTAATTTTTTACATGTTCAGCGAGTCCCCTGATCAAAACAATTGACTTAGACTCGGGTTGAATCAGGCGATTTGCATTACCAAGCTCCCAAGAGGTTCTGGGCTCACTACGCCTCTCCGCATCAACCGGTATACGTGTACTATTTCGACGGGCCAGCAGCTTCAAATGATCCTTCCTCCGGAGGTGGTAAGCAAAATTTGATGGGACTATCTTCATTTTTTTTTTCTAGAATGTGGGGCAAGACATGCATCAACTGGAATCTAATCAGACTTGGTATCCAGTTTCTCACAGTTCGGAATTGCCGTTGATCTTCGGGAATATCGATGAAGAGGATTTACCAGTTATCGAGATTAAGGAAACGAGAGCATTAGCTGAACGGGTTAGGAACCGCTATATCAGTTTCGCGTATGAACTCAATCCGGGTGGTTAGTGCTTTCTTACTTTTTTGATAAAAAAAAACCCGAAGCTTGATGAATGAAGCATTCCTGGGGGAGAAGGATTTTCAAGCCAAAAGAAGCAGATGAAAGCTAACATTGGTTCCTGCTCTGTAAACAGACGATTGGCCTGCTTACACGCCGAGAGCAAAAAGAGTCATGCGATTCAACAAGAAAATCGTTCATGGAGAACTAATTGAAGACGATTGGCGAGCCGAGCAATTGAGTTACTTGAACAGCGAAGCCGCCCAGGACACTTACTTGACTTAAGACATACGGTTTCCCTCTATCGGCATGATTTAAGTGGATCATACCGGTTAATACTAATAGCGTTTGCTCCTTCGGACCTTTCAATTCTTCCAGAATATTTTCAATCTTGCAACAAATGCAATATCCACAATTTCTCTGTTCTTAAATAACTTGTTGTTGTTTGGTATTCCATCGTCGCATCGTAGAACTAGTATATACATTTGCCCAGTAGTCAGTAGTTTGTGTCTATTAACCATCTGCCTTTTCTTGATCTATGGAGTACAATTTTTTTTTTTTTTTTTTTTTTTGAACTTCAAAGCAAAATTTCTCACTAATTATATCATGATGTTTCCTAGCTTTATTGTCAGACAATTTTCTTTACTATTTTTACAGCATCATCTGAATCAGTTACAATATTCACAATACACATCAATAGAATTCAATTATTTTCACAATACACATCAATAGAATTCAATTATTATCTCAGATGTTGGCCACTTGAGCATTCTACCAAAATCAATCGGAGTAAGTGTGAAACAACCAGAATCTCCATGGTTTCTATGAGGTTGAAATGGGCAATGAAGGCTGGAGAGCCCCAGTTAAGTCTGTAAACTCTTGCGCATCAGCCTTCTCATCTACCTCAGTGAACTAATGCAACTGCTTGGAAATTTTTCTTTGAAAAAAGAAACAAGACAAATGTTTTGGATATCAGCTCTCATGTGTTGAGGAGATTTCAACAGTAGAATCAGTGAGGATTTGATGATTGTTCTCCACATGCTGCCATGGACAAACAAGCTGCCTAGTAGTAGGACAATGGTAAAACAAAACACTAATGAGCTTGACTGTTACTTGGTCCTTGATTCTGTTACTACAAAATTGGATTTGAAGCATGAACAATCAACTTAAGCAGGAATCTTCCCATGAAGATTTCATAGGAGGATCAGATTGTGCCCCTGTCCTGATCATTCTTGTAGCATGAAACCCATGTGCACAAAAGTGAGGGCAAAAATTGATGGCTTTATATAACTTGCTCCAAATCCATCAAGAATGAATAAGAACAACACTCAAGACATCAATGCAAGTCTCAATCAGATCCTCTTTATCATATGTGCACCAAATCAACTTGAAGGAATCAAATTAAAAGAGAGGACATGGGTGCATAAAGCCATACATACAAAAATAGATCAAAGACTCAATTGGTCAAACAAAACAAACAACAAACAACAAAATGGAAGCTTTTGAAAATAAATTTTATAAGGTGTAAAAAAATAAGTATGTACATACAACATCTATGAACATGTACAGAGAAGAGGCAGACCACAAACACGTCACATCAGATCAACCAAAACCAAAAAGAAAATTACAACAGCAGAGGAGACATTTAATTTTTTTTTGTTCAAAAAAGAGTTTATTAAATGAGTTGATTATATAAATATGAAACAATGACAAATCAAAATCAAAAACAAAAGTAAATAAATAAATGAATCTAAAGCAAGAAACATGAGAGGGAGATTGTTCTCAGACGGCTTGATTGAGCTCATTTAATTCCGATTGACGATTTGTTAACCATGCCAAGAACTTGCGATTTTGAAGGTTTGTTATGAAGCCAAGATCAGCAGGCTCAGCAGCCAAGCTGAAGTCTTTGACGACCAAGAGGTCCGTAGGTTCATGATCTTGCAACTGAGCCTGTAAGTTTGTCGGCCTGGATGAAGAAGAGGAAGCCGAAGAATTGGTCTGTTGATAATGATGATGATGATGAGCTTGGTGACTGGTATTCCGACGGTTATTGAACTGTAGCTTGTAGGTCTCCGCGTCGATCGATAGTCGGATCTTGTTTGAATTAACCAACACTACTCGACCTGCCCGCTTCTTCCTCTTCTTTTCCTTCTGAGCTTGATCCCCCGCCCCACTGCGACCATCGGTACTCATCGACTTATCGTGCTCATCGTCTCCTGCTGTTTCTTTCCCTTCTTCGACTTCTTGTTCTCCTTCTTCCTCTCCATTTTCCTCGTCTTCCGAATTCTCCTCTTCGATCAGCAAGTTGGATCTCAGGAACGGCCGTCTCACTTTTGCCGGGTCGATCAGCTCCGTACTCGTTTCGAACTCGTACGTGTCAACGTAATGCGTCAACTTTTCTGTCGCTGTCTTCACTTCGAACGTCGGTTCCCCTTGGTTCAAGATCTGGAAACTCAACGACATTCTTTCTGGATGCTAAGATAGTTTATCGAAGTTACCACAGTGCCTGTCAGTTTCTTCTTCTTGTTGTATTTTGTGAAGCCTCAGCTAATGTATCAGAGAACGAAAAATAACTAACCCATTCAGCACGAAACAGTTCACCCTCCTCTTCTTCCAAGATCGATTCTGCTTGGTGTCGATAGGAGATTTGAGTGATCGGACTGATTGAGCTAAGAATCCGCTCCCGGTTCAACAAATTCAACAGCTCCTTATTCTTAGGTTCTTGATGGATTTGTGCAAACTGAGGAAAGATAGGAAATAGAGCGAAAAAATAAAGTTAGATTGGAAGAAAGAAACAAAAAAGCAGGAAAAGGCTAAACTTGTTTCAAGATCGAGTTAGTTAGTTTATCGACAGTGGAGAGGAGGTAACCATGTCTTGGAAAGGCGACGCGGATGGATTCTTCAAACGAATTGAAATCGATTTCGCCGTCGAAGTAGCGGGAAAGCTGATCCAAACAGTAGGGATATAATTGGGAAGCAGGATTAGGATGATCATCCAAGCCGATGATAGAATGACTCAAACCGAGCTCGATGGCCACCGGATTGATCCGTCTCCACCGAGGTTTGTGTTTGCCCAGCTCAACCCCGATTGTCTTCAACTTCATCAATCTCATGTACAGTGTCTACACCAAATTATAATCATGTATCTGCGTCAACTTCTCTCTTGGCATCCTCTAACTTCCATTCAAATACCACATCGAAAACTCACGTGCAGTAATCGGACCAACAAGTAATACGTCGAGGATCCAAAGACGTTATAGCAGCGTCCGACTCGTCGATCGGCCGGTTGTCCAGCATCGGGATGATTGTTGGCTAGATTGGGGTGATTATCAACCACCGAAAGCTTGGTCCATTTCTTCAACCCAGTGAAGCTAGGTCCATTGGGTTCAAGGAAAGCAGGCTGAGAGATTGTAGTTGGGACATATTCGGCGGGGGTAAGTTGGTAGGACTGCTGAGGGGAAGACATGGGGGTGTCGAGATTTTGGGAACGGGCGCGTCTGGATTCCTGGGAAGTCTGGATCTTTAAAAGCCCTTCGGTCAGGGTCTCGATGCCCTTCTGGTCCAGTACGTTTTGCTGATTCGCCGTCGTCGAGACGTCATGGTTCGGCAGAGTAGGACGGCCATACTCGCTAGGCTCACTTGACTCGTCGTCGTAGATGATCGGGATCTGTTTCTCTAGCTCGGCTGCTGAGATGTTCCAGACCGCTGGGATGAACGTCCGAAGGGATTCGTCGATCCTTCTTCGCTCTGGATTCGATAGTGCTGACCGGTCGAGCGCCATGATGATAATCCTCAGCACGTCATAGAAAACTTCCATGTCTTCGAATCCAAGTTCGATTTGATGAGCCGCTCTTGAAGGAGTGGGTGATCGATCGATCTTTCGAGGTATCCTGTTTTCCAAAATTATCTCGATTTTATCTGGTGATGATAGTCTAGGTACTGATTCCTTGTCGATGTCCATCCGAGAAGAAGAGTTCAAAGACGGCTCGGTTTGTTTGGAAGGATCTTGACGAGGCCCTTCATCTGCTTTGATACTCACCGTATAAACTAAAGCCTTTTGATCCTTTTTCAAGTCGTGAATCTCTTTCAACAGATTTTGACCTTTGAGCAATGACTTTTCATTAGACTTGAACGTGATCACCTGATGATCCTGAGCTTTGTAATAATTCTTCCGTTCTACCTCTCTCCAGATCAAGTTCCATTGGGATTCAGCAGACTTCCAACTCAATTCGAGTTCCTTCAGCCGATGAAGCACGATTGGGATGGTATTCGCAGGGTAGTCGCGCAGGTAAGGCAGGATGCTAGATTGATATTTGCTCTCGTATACCTTGCGAAGTGTACGATGGTAGATAGATGGACTACTTCCGCCGAGGTTGTCTCCCAGAGTGAAGCTCGCCTTGTCTCGATCTTCCATCCCGTCAATCCGAGCCCTTAAACATTCAAGATGACCGATTGTCCGACTAATGCACTCCAGCCAGTACGAGAAATGCGCGCGCTCACCCTCGGTCATTGCAACTACTTCTTCGAAGTTCGTCTTTCGATGCCCTGGTCCACCAGACTCTGTTCCAAATTTCGCTGCCCCAAAGTATTCATCGTTCAAAACACTCCAACATAGCTCGTCTCTTCCTGAGCACGCCAAATCTATCTCAGCTCGCGGTAATCGTTTGTAACTTGGTCCATACTCCTTTTGGATGGTTGATGCATCTACTTTGTCGCGCTCTCGAATATCCGTATTCCTAATCTCCCATACTTCTCCTTCAACCAAGCCGTCGTTCTTGACGTCATACCCAACCAATCCCTTGAAATCCTCCAACAGTTCGTCGTCATCGCCAATGAATACTGACACTCGATCTAATAAAGTTTTGAAATCGATGATCGACCGGTTGTAGAGGTCTAAGACCCTTAGAAATTCTAGCCATAGATCTGGATCGTTGATAAATTTTCGTATTGACTCAAACAGCGCCACTTCCTTGGTGTTAGTTAGCGTACGGCCTCCCATCGCATCGTGGGTTTCAACATAGGACGGTTGACAAGTTGAATATCCGGCGAGATTTGAGCTTCCCAGGTGAGGATCATGTACTAACTGTAAGTGAGGATGAGCATAAGCTGATGAGCCACCGATTGAGGGATCAATTACTTGGTGGGGTAGAGAATGAGACTGGGACTGGTTTCTATATGCTTCCGATGGTGTAGCAAAGTTGTGCGGCGCTGACTCAGTGTTTGTCGCTTCGTGTGATTCGGGTTGGGATGAGCGGTACTGCTCGAGGAAGGTGGCAATCCTATGTTGTACGGCTTCATTTGTGACCGCAGGAGGCATCGACTCGGCGCTTGCACTTGTCTTGGATTTTGAGCGCTTGATCTTTTTGGAGGCGAAATCGTCTGGTTGGAAAGCAGCTGTGTAAGATTCATTTGGAAGGGCAGGCTGGTCTTTGTTTGACCGAAGACTGGCTTCTTCGAGGTTTCCATTTCCCAGGGCTCTTTTCTTCTTAGGAGGTCCTGGAAAGTCATCATCTACAGGAATCGCATTGGCCGGACTGGCTAGCAACCTTTTTTGGTAAGGTGGGAGGTGATCAGGTACGGTGGATGAGACGAGGTGTGAGACAGAGGTTCTGGCCGGTGAAGCACCCGCGATAAATCCATTATTTGACTGGCCCATGGAGCCAGAGCCTGTATTTGGGGGAAGTTGCGAATTTGGCAAGCCAGAGTTCAAGACCTGTGGATCCAGAGGGCCACTAGTTGTACTCGAGAGTACTTGAGGGTCGAGAAGCATCGTTGGCGCAGGAGAAGCGACGCGAGCTAAGTGAGAATGAACCTTGCTAGGGGATTGCAAACGAGTCGGCGAAAGTCTGGTGGGATGTCCTGCTGTGTCATTATTAGGATCGGTTGAGGGGTTGTTTTGCAAAATAGAAGGTGACTTGTGTTGATTTGATGTTTCGGGGGTTGGCCTGTGGCTCGGTTTTAAATGATAGAGAGGCTGATGATGGGGTAAGAACTGTGAGTTTGGCAGCTTTTCTTGAGAAGGTTTCCGAGTTGAGCTAGACGGTTGTGACGACTGGGGGGAGGTATTCGGCGGTGGGTTGGTAGACGAAGAGGCTTTGACAGGTGGTGGTGGAAATGGCGATTTTGACCCTGGTCCCGCGGCAGAGCTCGCGTTTAGATCAGGCAAAAACTGTTTGAACTCGTCCAACAGATCCGCTGCGTTTGAAAACAGTTTGGTGACCTTGACATAGACCTACAGTAAGAATAGCAAGGAAAACTCTTTCTTGGTCAGTTATTCAGGCAAATTGTGCTTCGGGTGACGGTTGGTAACAAAGACCAACACACCGAATCAATAGGCATTCCATCCCTTTGGTAAGTTTGGAGTATCTCTAGAAATGTTTTGTAGATTTCCGGTTGATCAATAAACCGATGTTTGATCTTGTTGACATAGTTGATGGCATAGTTAAACTCAACCGGTTTAGTGTTGAGATTAGGTTGAGGCTGGAGAACACCTGGGATTAAGGTTGAGTTAGGACGGATGGGCTTGGGTTGCGATGTTTTCAACTTGCTAGGATCGGTCAGATCAGGTGCGATGAGGAGCTTGGATGTATTACTGGGATCCAGGTTGTAAGGTCGATTGATCGGTGGGATTTGGTTGGTTTGGATTGAATGGGGAGCTCTTGATGATATTGGGTGCTCATTTGTGGGGGTAGGAGTAGGTGCATGTTGATTTATGACTGGATCAACGGCTATAGCATCCATAGCGAGTGAATCACCTGGTTCAATAAGACGTAAGGATGGAATGAGACTCCCATCAGTCAATTATGAATAAAACATTGTGTTACTTCTATGATTTACGAACCTCGAGACAATAAGGCGGGACTGGTAGGACGAAGATCATTGGGCGGATTTGCCGGCGTGAGTTTTGTCGAAGAGGAACTAGGATGAGTGCTGGCGGGATCTTTCTTAGTCGAGTCGGGTAGATGCTGGGGTAAAGTGGCACTCTGTGATCGGATTTTTTGTGGTTCCTGAGTGGTGGCCGGTGGGGTAGTGGATCGCTGGCGGCAGCTGTTAGACTTGGTGGGCAGATCGGGTGTTTGAGCAGTTGGAGGATTCAAGGAAGGATTCGAAGATTGGGTTGTAGAGCTTAAAGATATTGAATGAGTTGATTGGCTTGGCTTGGTTTGGTCAAAAGTTGGGGGTATGATAGTAGCAGGCTCTGTGGGTGAGAGGTTGCTAGCTGAGCTTTTTGAGGTAGTTTCGGCTGTTGAGGTTGGATCGGCTGAAGTACTCGAGAGAGGTTGGAGATCGGTTGGAACGTGAGACCAGCCAGGAGGCAACGAGCCGAGGGAGTGATCGGTGAGTATCGTGGCTAGGCTGCCGTCCCTGGGGAATAGACTAGTTTTGTGAGTGATCTCTCCAGGAGTATAAACGGTGACCAAGTCAGCTTCTTCGCTGTTGGAGGAGGTTCGCCTGACCAAGGTGCACTCTATCCGAAATCCAGGCGGTAGGAAGGTATTAAATCCTTGAATTAGTGATGGGTAGCCTCTGAATAGAGTTGAAACTCTCTCGATCACGCCTGGAGTGTCGATTGACTGCGTTTTACTGTTGGATGCACATTTTTTTGACAAGATGAGGGTATGAGTCTGGTTGTTTGAGAAGAAGATAGCTGAAGGTTGGCTGGACTGACAAGAGTTTCATGACGTCTAAGAATTGATTATAGACATCATTCTGATCCTGGAATCGAACTTTGACCTGATCGAGATAGCTGAGTGCGTCACGAACGTTGAGGGTGCGATATGAGTTGTTGCTACTCTCTTGTGTCTCTTGAGGAGGCTCGTCGGCCATCGTGTTCGGTGGTTCTTGACTGTTGGGCTTGGTGTTTGTTGTTGGTGGTGCTGGTTGGCTGGCTTATTGTTTTGGGTTCAACCTCCCCAAGAGGAGGGGGGGGGGGGGGCCAACCCCATGAAGAGGGGGTCACCCAATCACAGTGTATTCAATATTCTTCCAACACCGTACATCTATGCATAAGGATCTTCGATAGAGACAAGGCTTCATGTTTAGGAAATTTATGGAGGATTTCAATAGATAAATCGAATTCAATGGGCTGAACAGATAGTGGCTAGAGTTCAGCCTAAGCGATTCCATTAGCACTGATCACAGAGGGGTGTATTGCTTTCTGATGCCGGTGCAATAACTTCAGCTTCCTGATGATTGAATTTGGACGGTCATGCTGAATTGCAACACACTATCCACCCTGTGGACCCCCTCTTGACCAACAACTACTGCTGACTCTTTGGCCATATTGGATGACTTCCTGTCAAACTCTGCAAACCTCTCAAAATTCAATTTACACCCCTTAGATCTACATTCTTGGTCAAAAAAAAACTCTTTTTTCAGAAGCCTTCTAGCAATAGCCCTCATGTGAGCGGGTGGTAATTGTGATTTTGTTGTGAAGTTAGGACTCAGATAGGTCTAAAAATTCCTCTAAATTGAATCTGGAATTCCTCCATTACAAAACAAGTTCAAAAGCCAAGTCAAGCTATCCTTTAATTACATTGTTACTTGGCTGATATTTTGACCCTTCTCATCTGGACTTCACTCACCCTGCAAATTTTTATATTTTTTCTTTCAAGTGACTGTATTTTTTTTTTCTTCCATAAATTTCACACACATCTTTCCCATTCCACAAAAGTTCCCCTGCTTTTATGATTAACTCAGCTCACCCCAGCTGCTTTTTGTTTTGCAATCATTCTTCTAGTGCCCATCCCTCTCATCAGCACTGAAGCCCCCTTACTCATACTTCTAATTTTTATCAAAGAAAGCATTGACTCTCTCCCACTAAATAACCACATTTCACTTATTTTTAAGTGATTTTTACTGGACTTGTCCATTTACTTATAGAGGCTTGGTTAATCAACCCCCAAAAATTGGCAAGTTGACTCCCAAACCTGGGGATGTCCTGAGGACCATCTCAGGACATCCCCTCCCCCTATTTTTTCCACTGTGGGTTTGAGAGTTTATAATAAATAAATGAAATGAAAACCCCCAAGGTATTTGGGAGTTGATGCTCCAAAATCCAGCCGGGGTTTTGGAGTTGGAGAATTCCAAGGAGCCTCAAACGGCTAGGAAGATTCTGTCAAGAGTGCCACTGAAAGCACACCCTCAACGTCTGGGGGAGGGGGGGGGGGGTTCCTCTTAGCCATCAAGAGTTTACTCTCAGTGGCTGAGAGGAACTCTCCCATGGTTGCTGAGAGGAACTCTCCCATGGTTGCTGAGAGTACACTCTCAATGGCCAACCCTTCTGGCCAGTGGCTGTCTGCAAGGGTGTACACTCTTGACGGCAAAGAGAAACACTCTCCACCGTTGAGAGTTTATACTCTTGTTGAAAATTGAAATCTGAGCCCACAAAGGAGTTGAATGAGAAGATAGGGAAGCAGATTTTTGATCTTACTGGAATGGCTCGGAGTGAAAAAATGAAGGTGAAGAACCAGTGGTTTTAATTTGCTTGTAACTAGACTACTACACCACAGTTTGCAAGCAACGTTGAGCCCGCATCACACGTTTTGTTGGCCTCACTTGTCTGACCCCGCCAAAAAAAATGGCAGGGCTAAGAGCGGCAGGTCTCGGATGCTGCTGTCAGCCCAACTTGTGATGTGGGCCTCTCGTCGGATCATGTCGTGGGCATAGGAGGGTGGGCATGACCTCGACGGCTTCTAACAAGAAGCAGACGTCAGCGGCCCCTCGTGGGTATAACGAGTTGCAAAGAAACTGGGAGGCTCCGCCTCAAGCAAAAGAGCTCTCCTCCCTTGCCTTGAACCTGCAACCTACACCCATGCTGGTACTGGGCATGCCTGATGATCAGTGCTGATCAGGCATCAACAAAGGGACATAATTACCGCTCTACGAGATTGGTATTCCCCTTGGGCACATTAACAGCTGTAATGTATGAACTAAAATTCCAATCAATCTTCTTCAGAAATTTGGCATTTCTGTTGAAGACAATGGTATTTTATATATATTTTTTCACATTTTGAAACATAGGTAGCCCCTTTCTTGCATGGAAAGAGGCCCAGAAAACTTGTTTTTAATTTTTTTTTTTTTTTTAAAGCCTATCCAAGTCATGCCAACGAAATCGGGCATGACATCATCCCCACCGACACTGAGCTGAAGCCCGACACACAGCCATCATTGGCTTCAGTTCGTGTTGGGCCGACCTTTGGATCACAGCAGATGATCCTGATGTCAAGACATCAGGATCATTCACGGTGATCCAAAGGTCGGCCCGACCTCAATTTGATGACGGCCCACAACCGCCGTCAAATTTGTGAAAAGCAGGTTATGGCCGACCCGCGCCAACCCAATCTCAACTGCGCTGTGGGCCTGTCGCACAGGAATGAAGATTATCGACCTGTGGTGTATAAATAGAATATGTACAAGCAGGCTAGCTTGTGGTTAGAAGAATTTGAAATAAAATATTCTGGAAAATTTTAACCTAGAAGTGTCACAGAGAAAACACAGACAATGACATACCCATGCACAAGAAGATAAGAGAGAAAATCAGAGAGTTGATAAGGTCTTCATGCCAGGGTTCAAGACTACAAGGAAGAGACAACAGACAACATAAATGAGAGGCATTTCATACTATAATGTGGAGTCAAAAAGTACATGATTCTTTTGAACTAATCTTCTAAGTAATAGAATTCACAAAATGATATGTAGGCAAAGGTGAGAGTGGACTAAGTAAAAGAATGAAATTTCAACAACTCTCCATGGTGAAGAGGAAGTAAGTTTCCTCTCTGCAGTCAAGAGTGTACACTCTTGATGGCCAAGAGGATTCCTCCTGGCAAGGATTCCTCCTGGCCATTGAGAGTATACACTCTCAATGGCCAAGAGGGTTGTTCTCAGTTTTTTAGAGTGTTGTACTCTCAGAAGTTGGGGATGAGTTTCTCTTCCATTGAGAGCATACACTCACAATGGCCAAGAGGAACCCCCTCAGCCATTCAGAATATATTCAATGACCCAGAGAAACCCACTCAGCAGTTGAGAATATACACTCTTGAAACCCAAGAGGAACCCTCTTGGCTGTTGAGAATTTCCTCTCAACAGTGGAGAGGAACCCTCCCCTGGCTACTGAGAGTACAAAAGAATTGTTGATGTAATCCATTACAAATTTTTGCTGTTGACCTGGAAGGCTGGAATGATAATGTGAATTTAAAACATAACTAGATAGTTGCTTTTGGAAAATCTCAACAATGCAATATTTATTTGATTACTCAATAGAATGGGGTGGTGCAGTCACTTTGAAAACCCAGTTAAAAATTAAGTGATGAGGGTTAGGAATTGTGACATTCTCAAAATGATTTGGGGTGATAGGCTGCAAGTCCCTCCTTCCAGTTGCTTGCTTTATGAGTTCAAATTATGCAGCAGGATATTGGTTCATCAGAACATGCATATTTAATGATACCCAGAATTCATTTCAAATTTACAACAACATACTAGCAACACTGGGCCAGTGCAGCGTAATGTAGCATAAATTTGCTAATGTTTAGCGTAGGGGAGCAGAATTGTGCCACAACTGCACTAAAGCTATGCGTGTGGGAGGCCAAAAAGGACCCACTATGCTTTGCTACAGCGCATTTTAGCAGTTTTGGGCCTTTTTTGCCACTAAAAGCACTGTAGCGCAGTGTAGCATAGTTGCACTAACAGCATGCTAACACTACAGGCTTGGTGTGCTGTTTTGAGGGCCGCTATGCTAACATTAGAGCATCTTTACCGGTTGAGCTAAAAGCCAGCGGTTTTAACTCGCGGCTATTGCTAAGCTACTATAGCGAAGCCTATTCAGCCACACCGGTGTGGCATGAGGTTAAACCGTGTGGTGTGGTTTGAAGTAGGGGTGTGTGATTGTGTGCGGGAGGGCACCAAAATGAAGCACACTCACCGGTTTTTGCTTTTAGCTTGCTTGCGAGCTAACCGTTGCTAGATCTAGCAACGGTTAGCTCGAATCGGAGCCGCGAGCTAGTTTGACTTGACTTTAGCTCAGCCCGGTGTGGTTGAATTTCGCGGCTAAAGTCCTTAGCTCGCGTGGATTTAGCCACCGATACGGATGCTCTTAGTGGGCTGTTTAGTGTAGTGTAGCATCCCAGTGTTAATTCTAGGAAAAACACAAAAAATCAATGAATTAGGGCAAAAATTGATCACTCAGTACAGAAACCACAAAAGTCCTCTGAAATATCAAATCCAGAGATAGGGGTAGAGATCGTTCTACGGTACCCTTTGCTAGGTACCTAGTACCACTTGGGGGGTACCTCTGGCACCTGCTCCGCACCTGCCAGGAGTTGCCAGGTGCGGTGCCAGGTGTCTGTTTTTGGGGGAAAAAACAGGAGGTACCGCAGGTACCATGGGTACCTCCCCACTTCCCTAACATAGGGTGGGTGGGAGGGCTGCATATTTTATAATAAATACAAAAAAATTGAAAAAATTGACTATACGCTTTAAACAGTATTTCATATCCAGTACTGGATATTCAGTAAAAAAACTGGATATGCAATATTTTTTCCTTTTTTTGTTAAATTAGTGTGAAGAAGTAAAAAAAAAAAACAGCAGATCCAGTTTTATTTTACCACATATCTAGTACAGGATATAAAGTAATGTTGAGATAGCTAGTGGAACTAAGTGAAAAAGAGAGGGGAGGTACCTGCAGTACCTTCCAAAAGTACCGCCGGTACCCGCCAGGAGGTGCCTGGTGTACTTGGTACCTATTTTCTGAAAAAATTCAACAGGTACCTAGGTACCAACAGGTACCCGAGTACGAACAAACAATCTCTAAATAGGGGGGAGGATCTGTCAGCCACAGAGTACATGTCACAGTACCTTTCATGTACCAAGTAACTGCAACACCTGTACTTATGTACATAAGTACTTATCCATAATGTTGATTACCTTTACCTCTTGTTATATTATTATTATCATTAACTTATCTTATCTTATTTATCTTACATTTATCTTATCTGTTAATTACTTATCTATTTAAATACATACCTGTGTTCTACATAAGTAATTATCACTTACCTTTCACTCCCTTGTCCGTGAAATACCTGTACCACAAGTTATCCCTCTGCTACAGTATTTTCACGGTCAAATATTATTACAAATAAATATGTACATGTATTAAATAGTAAGTATTAAGTGTCAATAGAATTAATACATTCAATACATGCACAGATCACAATTATGACTACATTATTAGAGGATCTGTTAAGTACACATCAAGAGCAACTAGTACATTGATCAACTAATACACAATTATGATGTCACTTACAGATCATGACAAATAATGATCAGTCACTCAATTGATGTGCTCATTCTCCTGGCCAAAGCTCCCTTGATTCTGAGCGCTCATTCTTTCCCCCCTTCAGTATTCTGGAACTTATAATCCGTGCCTCTTTCACTGATTAATCCCCAGAATATTCAGACACTAGTTAAACCAGTTAACATTTATATTGATACAGTACCCGTAACCAACATAAATCTTGTCTACATTTATTGTTCTTAAGCTTCAGTACTCTTACTCAACTTATCCACAGTATTCATAGCCTTGCTGAATATTCCCATTAACAATACCTGTTAATCTTCAACTAATTTTGTTAAAGCTTAATAAGTATTGTTAGCCCATTCCCTTAGGGGAATAACCAAATCAATCCCAGGTGAGTCTTAGTACCCTGGATGCCTATTAATACCTTGTATTGATCCGGATGCGCTGTTGATAGCAAGCCTCTCAGTAAAGACCATACTGATAGAGTGAGACCTCCTCTTTACAGGACTGGTATTAATCACCCACTACCTAACACTCACCACGCTCAAAAACTTCAGTCAACTCATAGTAACAACCTTTTTACTATTAAATACTCAGGTTAGTTACCCAGAGGCTGACAGGATCTACCAATTTCAATTGGGTAAATTTTGTCCAACTACTTATCTGTTCTTAATCAAAAAGATTAAATCACCAAAAATCTTAAGACTACCAGCAAACAAAATTTATGGAACATTCCTCAATGTGATTTCCAAATGCAATTTCTAAAGAAAACAATTTGGATTTGAATTCAAAAAAATATATATAAAGATAAACATCAATTCACACCTACCCAACCAGCTTGCTTGATCAAGCCCTCTTGGCAAAATCCAAACCCCTGGTGGTACATCCTGGGCCAATTGGTGCTTTGAACTGCCTAAACTAACTGGTTGGATCAGAAGGTCCAACCAGTCCTTGTTATTGCCTATGCTAGCAGTTCTTAGACATGACCATCCAATAAGAGGTAAGACTTACCTGTCCAAACAGATGGGAACACCTGGTGACTGCTTGAACAAGCCCATTTGGCATCTTGTTGGACAGCAATGTCCAAGGTCAACTGCTCAGACAGGCTGGTCTTCTAAGAAGATATTTCTGGCAGTGTTGGAGTGTACCCAGAAACAATTTCAAGGCCATATATTGCATTGGATTCTCAAGGAGATCCATCTGGCCCAAAACAATTGTATTGCACCGGAATTTTGACCACTCAAGGATAGCACCATATGTGATCCTTGAAATGATGAGTATTTCTGAACTGATCCAACACTTCATATAAGCACGATTTTCTTGAAATTGAGACATCTTGTGGCTTGGAATTTTTTGCATGGGTTAGGCATGATAATTCCAGATCTTAAGCAAGGTGTTGGTAATACTTTTCCCATTCTATAAATTTGATTCTGAAACAAGCACCCATGTCAACTGATTTTACAACATTTAGCATAATTGTTACAGTGTTGGCAGTTGCTGAACACACCTGAAATGAGGGGTGTGGACTTGCACGTTTATCAACCCTAATCAAATGGAGGTCAATATTCAAATTCTCCACTCTTGATGTCATTGGAATCTCATCCAAATGTCATCATCATGAGTGGAGATTGATCTATTTAATCTTCTCCACTTGTTTCAAACACAAAAAAAAAAACATTCAATGACAGATAAGCAGGCTCTCACCATTCGACAAGTAGGGGGATGCACTGGTAAGGCAGTTTGTCTCACTCACAAGTGCCCGTGCCAGAATATGAGAAGTAGTTTAATTAAAAATACATGTAAATCTTGAGATTGGTAGGAGCTCCACGATTTGTCCCCTCTGAAATATGCAGCATAGTGCAAAACAACAACATGGCATCACTACATATTTATGTTAGTGAAGTTTCATTGAAGACTACATAATTGAATCAGTTGAACGAGTTTATTCCAAGTCATTTTGAATGATTTCAATTGAGCCCCTCAATCCTGAGGTTGCAATCGATAACACCTCAATTTGCAAGATCGATGGAATTAAGCTCTTTTGTCTTTCAACCCGCAGGTTGGAGGACATAAATGATTGATGAAACGATTCGGCCGGGACCTGGCATCTAGCACCCAGCTGGAACACTGGTTGCTACCGGACGCATCAAGAAGTCAGACAAACATCTCCTATAACCAGCCGATACTACTGATCGGACTTAGAGTGCCGAGCAGTTGTTGCCAGTTGGACCGGTTTGGCTGAGCAAGCAACCTTATCTACCCGGCTCGAAGATATATAAAGAGGCCTTTTCGGAGACACTTGGTGAGCAATGCAGCGGTTCTATATCTTTCCTCATTGCTTTGATATCAAAAAAAAAAAAAACTGAAACGGGAAACACAATGAAAATATCTGCGGCGCATCTTGTGGCTATTGGCCTCACTGTTCTTGCAAGTGTGGTGTTTGGCTCCACCGTAGGCGATCCTGCCGCGTTCAGCAAAGGTGAGCCAACACCTCTTCTTCTCTGAATCGTCTCTACATAACACTTCCGAATCATGGCCGTTAACGTTGCTTCTCTTTGCCAGTCTGGGATAGCAAGGACTTGAAAGAGCTTCAATCTGAGCCCAGAGAAGGTAAGATTACATTCGGGCTTGCATGTTTAAAATCGTGTCTTCAGACTGATTTAGCGTCAATGAACTCCAGTGGAGGGGGGTAATAGATTGCTATTTGCGGAGCCTGGTAAGCCATCTTTTGAGTGCCTGTTTCGCCTTTTCCTTGTTGCTTTCAAGTTTCCAAATACTAGCTGGCAGGTTAAGAGCAACAGAACCTACCAAAGTTTGAGGTCTGAAAAAAAATATATATATATTAAAAACTCCTAATGTTTGAATCTTTGGACCAGATCCCGATAGGAAATAAATAGTATTACAGGACAGCCCTGATAGCTTCACAGAATCCAGCCCAGCAATGGTTTCATTTCTTATTTATTGGATTCCAATATCTCAGTTCAAGAAGGCAAGTCAACGAATACTGCAACGAAAATGCGCTTTGGATCCTATGTGATTTCGATTGTTAATAGTCCTAATAGCAATCACCGATACTCTAGATACATTAAGAGTCCAGAAGATCCACCCACCCATTTTCACTTGTTGATTCAAATCCTCACTTCCTGTTCACTGAAATTCAAATGGTTCTCCAAGCTTGTCCATATGTATCTACCTGATTTAAGCCCAGCAAGCTAGACTTCAGGAAGTGAATCCCGTCGGTCCCACAGATCTGGTGACTCCAGTGAGGAGAATTTTTTGAGTCCCTCAACCTCCTCTGCTTCGTGCTAGACAAAGTTGGATTTTAAAAAAGAAGAAAGTTCAAACTAGATGTAAGATTGGCGCTTGCATTCCATTTTTTTTCCTGAGATAATCATAATAATTCCTGAAAAAAAAAAATCAGGTTAAGTCCTATAAAAGTTCCATGAACATTAGAAATACATGATGTCAAAATCAAAATGATATTTATTGTGTATATGTATTGATGAATGGAATCGACCATGATGTCTCATCTTTTTGATTTTCATGTATATTGGGATTTGAGCTACGGATATAACCAGACAATACAATGTGTTCATTTATTTTTTGGTACAGGCCTGAGGGAGTCAGAAATTAAAGGTCATGGAAAAAATTGAGGAAGGGTTGGTTTGTTAAGGGGTATATGATGTTTGACCTAAAAAACTGAGAAAGGTTATTTTTTTTTGTTTACTTTACCTGGAAACAACCGAGTGAAAGACTTCGATAAAAACTTGCAAGTAAAGCCAAAGAAAAAAAAAATAATAATTTAATCGATCTGGGATTTGGTTGGAGACATGGGGAAGTGAAGCCAGGAGATCCAGATAGCGTCCATTCCAGTGAGTGGGGGAAGAGGGTCTGTCGGCTCGGCGTCGTTAGAAAGTTCCCAGCCGTCTTCGTCGGCGAAGGCGAGGACGAGCTGGATGAGTTGGCCGGCACAGAGCCGATCGAGGCCTTGGTCGCAAAGCCAGAGTTCTCGGAGTCTGACCCGGAAGATCTCATTGGCGACGAGGTACTGCTTGACGTGCTCGAGGATCTCGTTCTTAGGCGAAACCTGGTAGACCGATTCGTGGGCCAGATACTCCTCTACAGCTACCAATTGGTGTTCCCCCTTTCGGGCCTTGGGATGATTCAACCCAGCCATCCGAGCTTTGTCCTTATCTTCCTCATCATCCATCAGCTTCTCCCTCTTTTTGAAGATCACGCATTGGGTGGCAAAGAATCCTTCGGGTGACTCTGGTACGGGCAGTTGAGATTCTGGCACAGGGTTTTGAGCGGGATCGATCGAGCTGATGGATTGGATGAAGTAGTTGACATAAGAGCCGCATCCGCCGAGCTCGAAATCGTAACCATAGGCCGAAGCGACGGCCTTACACCAAACTTTGAATTCCCTCTGAGTCCATTCGAACTTGTGATCGGAGTCGCGGAAGTAGCGATCGGTACGGCCGGTGGGGTCGAGGAAGCGATGCAGACTTCTGGTCTCCGGTGACGAATACTGATCGATGTATTGGTTGAACTCGTGGTTCGGTGTGGTGATGACGATCCACTTGGGCTTGTAGATCCCAAAGAGTAGCGGGATAGATTGGTTGAGTTGATCAGGAAAGAGATGTTCGATCACTTCACTCATCACCACACACTCCAAATCTTTGAATCGTTCGTTGTTCACCGCCAGATCGCCAGACCATAGTTCCACCCTGAGCGGCTCCCAGCGTGGGTTGGGTTGGAGCAGGCCCGGCTTTGGTTTCTGATTGGTGAGCTTGATGGTCTCCTGGACTCGCCGGAGGCTCTCTGTGTCCAGGTCGAGGCCGATGAGAAGCTCGAGATGGAGGTCTCGTTGATAGTAGTCCAGCTCGGGTGTTTTTTTGACTATCTCTTCAATCTTCGCCAATCTTTCTTTTCTTGCTGGATCCTTCACTTTGGTTTGTTCAGCCTTCAGACATTCGACATCTGAAGAAGACGGGAATTCTCCTAGACTACTGGCAGCGTTCGTCAATAATCCAAGAAGTGTGCCTTCTCCACAGCCGAGTTCTAATACCTGAATCAAGCGATAAAGAGAGCACAACCGGCCGCCTCGAATCAGCCATACATTAACAGCTGAGACTCTTTATCTTCCTTTTTTTTTAGATGGACAGATGGTTGATTTTTGCACTGCTCACAGTTCGAATCCGTTGGCGTTTCAAGAATCCCAGACAGAAGGCACGGCGTTGGGTAACCAATGATGGGAAGAAGTAGAAAGGTGATTGGAAGGTATCCTTTGGTTGATAATCTGGAGACTGCATAGATTACGCACACGGTTTGAGCTGCCGAGTCGAATCGCGATAGACTAGTAATGAGTAACCATCTGAGAGGCACTCACCGTGATATTGGCCATAATCATATAATGACTGACTCCAGAGCTTCTCGATATATGATGCCGTGGGGATTTCTCGTTTGTGGGCCTGGTGACTTGCCGGAGCCGATGTCGGGTGTGGTGATACCACGCCGGCAGGCCAGGTGGCGTCCCCGACTCCCGAGAGGAGTCGGAGTAGTCGGAGTTTGTTGCGTTCCTGTAAACCCATACAACCCCATACCTGGATAAACCTAAGTGCATATGCTTAGAGCATCATTATCGGTTCGATAAGTTGACGCGAGTTTTAACTCGCATGAATTGGCAAGTTAACTTATAGACCCCCATTCAGTCGCACCGGTGTACACCACGGGCTCTGGTTGACGGATGCTTGACGGAACGAATTCCGTTGGCTTGACCCGTACCGCCCCGACGAAAAATTGGGGGTGCTTCATAGCGGGGGGCCTAAATCCCCGCGGTTGGCTTGACCCTGCAACATTGGCTTGCCCGCGGTTGCCTGGCAAGCTTGCGGCGGCTTGACGGCATTTTTTCATCATGACAGTGACTGCGCAGCAGCGCGCTGCAGAACAAAAAAAATCAGCTTGGGGCTTGAACACCCAACCTAGGCTCACAGCACCTTGAGCTCACTGCATGGTTGCATGCTGATAACCGAAGAGCTTATCCAACTATCACAGCTGTCACAGGGATGTCGCACGCAGTCTGCTGCGACACCCGCGGCAAGGGGCCCCCCTTACTGCGGGTGTCGCAGCAGACTGTATGCGACATCCGATCGGCAGCTGTGTATGCCAATCATATCATACCAATCTGCCTTGGTTTCGCATATAAATAGATAGAAAATTTCAAATTGCATATAGAATTTTTGTCTTCAAGTTTTTTTTCCCGAGTTTTTTTTTTTTTTTTTTTTTTTTTTTTTCTTGAGGTGGCCACAATTTTTTGGGCATGAAAAGGGTGCAGAAAAAATGTCAAAAAAAACGTTTTTTTTCTTCATTTTCAGACATGGGGTCAAGCCGACGGTGGGACTTTTTGACCCTGAGGTCAAGCCAACGTTGGAATTACAGCTTTCCTACCCAAAATTGATGTTGGCCAGACCAATCCGGCGGGATTGCGTAAGAGGGGTTGAGCCCGACCAGTGCGTGACCGCGGGGTCAAGCCGACGGAGTGCCATTTCCAAAACTCAACCTGTGGTGTAGTTTGCCGGGTGTGATTTGGAGTGGTGGTGTGTAGTGTTGGCGGGTGGACTCCAAGTTGGAGTGATCGCACTCGCTAACTACGTTGGTAACCATTGCTACAGTTACCAACGGTTAGCTGAAAACGGACCATCGAGGCAAGTTATCACCAACTTAGCTCGGTCCGGTGCAGTTGAAATTCGGTGGTAAGTGGCTTAACTCAAGCTAACTTAGCGACCGATAATGATGCTCTTACCAAGTGATAACACCGCTATCTGTACGGATAGCCCTTCACACTTCTCTGAAGGGAACCCCAGAGGAAATGCATCTCCTTGTCCTTGAAGAAAACACATACGCGTACATAGAATCCAAGAGTAATCATAAGAAATTCTTTTCCAATCATCAGAGAGACCAAAAATAGAAAGATATTCAAGTACACACACACACACAAAGACACATATAGATAGATAAATTGGTGAGCGAAGTCATACCACATACAGACGGAATCACTACACTTTATAAAAGAAAGAGAAAAACAAATATATGTTTTGGTATGATAAAAAAACATCCGTGTTTCCGTAACAGTAGCAGCACGTTTTTTGTCCTGTACTCGCGTACTTGTGTCTAAAAAAAAGAAAGAATATGAATTTGTTTTATGCATTTTTTCAATGTTTTCTTGTTTTGAGATATACTTGAATTTTTTTTATGTGTGTTTAATTCTTTTGATGCGAGGGAAGGGGATAAGAGTTGGCAGCCTGATCGATCAAAAGAAGATCAATGACCGCAACTTCAAGGAGAAAGAATGAACCCACGAGATTTGCGATTTGGCGAGCTTTGCGGGTAGACTAGAAGACTTTAATATCTGGCGCTGATCTCTCCGGAAGGGCGACGAGCAAGAGAGCGGCCGATGAGGGGAGGACCTACGGCGAAGGCCGGATGGGCCATTGGTGGAGGCCTGGATGGGTGAGCAAGCTCGGGTGCATAATAGCTCGGCCTTCTCTGGAGCCTGTTACCATCGTCGGGGTAGCCATCAGGTATACCAGAGACGCTGTTTCGGGAACGCGAGAGGGAACCCTGGCGGCCATGGCCCGGGATCATTTCTCCATGACCCATCCGACTCATCGGGCCATATCCGCCCTGGACAAGCGCCGCCGGGTGGCCGCCAAGTCGGCTCTGCGGATGCTGGTACCCAGGTTGGTAGTGCTCCATATTCGGGTCGTAGCTTTCGGGCCCATAGCAGTCCTCTTCACCACCTCCTTGGTAAGCTGGAGGCGGGTCCCAGTCTTCCGCATTCTGATCCAATCGAACCCGCAATAAACACAAAAAAAAATGTGTTGATCAGAATGGAAGGAAGCTCAAGTACCAAAAAGTCCTAAGAAAACAAACATACACCGCGCGGATTTCCGTTCCGGGTTGGGTATCGACTACCGCCAGCTCGACCTCCCATTCGAATATCTTGGGCGTTTTCGTTAACCTCGAGTCTACCGTTCGCCATGTTCATCTGTTTCTCCATCCGTTTGCCGGCCCATGAGCCGTCTTCGGTCCTGCCCATGACCATCTTGGACTGACGCATGCGCATCGAGCAGTTCTGGCCGCCGTCCATCCGGGCCAGCTCGGCCGGATCGGGGCCGGCCATGCTGAGACCCTTGAAGGCCGTCGACATCATTCTGTCGAACCCCGAGCTAATCTCATTCATCATCGAACTGCCCGGCCCGAACCGGTCCGTACCACTGTTGAAAAAATCATCTTCACCCAGCCCAAAGTCCCATTCCTTCCCTCGTCCCCCGCTTCCTGGTAGATTGTAGAGTTGTTGGCGATGGTCGGGCTGTTCCGGCTGCCGAGCACACTGCTTCGGCGGCCCGAGCGGATGATGATAATAGTCGTTGGCGGGCGCTCGGCTATTCAAGAGATCACCACCGGGATGGGAGAAGGAGGAGCGCCGGCTAGATGAGGGGTGTGGCCGACCATGATAATAGCTGCTCGGATAGTCGGCTACCGGTTCATTGATCTGTGCAGTTGGTGGAGGGAGCCGAGATTGATGGGATGCTTCGTGGTCTGATTCTTCCGAGGAGTATTCTTCATCGGGTTGATTAGCTTGAGGCGCTTTGTGTTTCGATTTGGACACGGCTGGTCGAGTCTGGAGAGCGCTCTCCGATCTACTAGCTGGCTCCGGTTTAGCCGAGATGGCTTTCTGGGATTTCGGAGCTTGGGTGATCGCCTTGGTGGAGGGGCTACGGGCCAGGACGGCGGACTTGTCATTGGGGGCAGGTTTGATCGAAGCAGGGTTACTGTTGGTCGTAGAAGCAGAAGTCGACTTCCTGGTGCTGCTACCATTGCTCATTTGGGAGCCACCGGGCTTGAGATCATTCAAGTCGATCGGATGGCCGAGCTCCTGGCAGATCTGTTGGAAAGCTTGGGCGACAACCCTGAACCTTCTGGTAGCCTCTTCTCTCCTTGCGGATGGCTGTCGATCGGGGTGATGCATCAAGGCCTGCACAATACCAAAGATGATAAACTCATTGCGTCAGATGGACGGTGAATTCGAGGAAGCGAAAGTGTTGATCAACTAGAAGCAGGAACGTATACTGACAGCTTGTCGATAGGCCGCCTTGGCCTCCTCGTAAGTACAATCCGGGTAAACATTCAAGATGCTGTAGGGGTCATCCATCATGCAATAAATCGTTTATATGAACCTGGAATCTGGTCTTGATCGGTCTGCCTTTCTCGTGTGTTTCCTAGAAAGGGTGTCTAGCCAATTGCTCTCCAAGGTGTAACAAATGGATAAGGTACCAAAAAAAAGGAGGAGGCTCAGGCAGGGCGTATCTAAATATGCCAAGGAAGATCGATGGGTAAGTTCGAGGGAAGCTGGTGATTAAGTCCCAAGTGTTTGGACTTGTTTGAGTTGAGCAGCAGAGTGAGCCAGGCTCAGTCAAGCCGCTTGAGCGTTGTGTGGTTCTGGTTGGTTCTCGGTGAAGTTTGGGCAATGATGGGCAATAATGACGACGCCGATGTTCAAAGCCAGGCTGTCCGCTGCCGGATATCAAGACACATTAATAACATCTGACAGCCACCAAACAAACAGCCCATCCATCTAGTTCAAATGGTGTGCCTTATGATTACAGATCCAATACAGAATTCTACATATTTACGCAAGACAAAGCTCCAGACTCACAACATGAACGAAACACAAAACTCAAAACAAGAACCAGCGGCAGCCGCTTCGTTCCATGAAGATCGGCTGCTGCTTGAAAACCTCAGAGCTTGATCTGGCGTAACCTTTAGTGTTGAATTTCGGAGAATGGCGCAGCTTCAAAGAAATGCAACAAGTTGAGGATACAAAACATCCACCTTCGCTCCCGGACCTAGCCGGACCACCAGGAATCAGCCAAACTTCCGGTTTCATGAAGACCCTTGCAAGCTGAGCCTGATCAGGGGGCCTTGGCCATTATGAACTCTAATGTCCGATGCACCCAACCGAACGGAGCAAAAGATTTTCTCAAGGATACAATTGTTACAACCACAACCGAATTATGGGCTATCAGCGTGCATTAATCGATGCATCAAGACCAATCGGCAACCCAATTGGATTCCCCGCAATCTGTTTGATAGGCAGCAGCTACTAGCGAATCTTCAAGATTGATCTCCGACAAATTTATTATCATACATGCTGCAGGACTTCCCATTGCCATTTGGAGTGCTTTTTTAGCCCCTCTAAGTCCTGAATCAAGACAGGAATGAAAATGACAACCAGCTCATATGGGAGCCATGACCACAAGGATTCTGAAAAAAATGGAGGACATTGGGTTTCACAAAGAGTGTCACAGATGAGATTCTTTGTAGTTATAGTCAAATTCCACTTGAGATCCGGACCTGGCTCCATAGAGAACTGATCCCATCTCTCTGAGCCAGGTAAGCTCTTCTTTTCTCATTTTCTTGCTTCATTCCTTTTCTTCTCATGTTTAGTGATTTGTATATAGAGAGAGAACTGATCCCATCCCTCTGAGCCAGTAATCAAAACCCCCACCGTGTTTGGTCTTAGAAAAACGTTTAGGCATCTCAGCCTGTCCCTTCTGTGTCATTTCTTAGCTCACCTAGTGAAGGACTCCTACAGTCCTTACATGCAACCACAGTTATAATTTGTGACACCTGTCAGACTGTGCCAACTATTCTTTCAAGCTGCATCAACCATATCTGCTACTGAAAACTGAACTCTAGTCATCATCAAGTGAAACCTAATCTCATAGCCAATATCATTGGTAAATTTGACCTTGACAGCTCCAATATTTCTTCCTCAGTTTTCCAACTACTCATCAGTAGTTTGCTGCCTTCTCAAGTCCTCCATCCAGCACTTTAAATACATCTCAAAAATATCCACAAAGATCTCAAAGACTCAACAACAAATCTCAATCAATCAATGATCACCCAACTACAAACTCAAAACTAGGATATCTTGTTGTCATCCAACTTGGCAAAAAATTCAGTCAAAGAACCACATTTTTTCAATCTAATGCCCAGACTATATGTTGTTGCTATTTAGTCCTTGTCCTATCTTTTTCTTGTCTACTCTATCTTCTTCCAGTTATCTGCCTTGTTAATTTAAGACACCCCATGAGTATGCTTCATTTTCTTGAGTCTCATTATCCTTCTGTTCTAATTTTTTTTTCTTTAAGCTCTGGTTTTCCTTTTTAAGCAATTCAATCAAAGATTCTTTAATAAGAAAAGAGAACAGAAAAATCATGACTTTCCTAGTTCAGACAATGAGCAAGTGGAGGGGGTAGGAAAAGACCTTCCATCATGCCTCACAGCTGAACATGGAAGAACTACACTCACAGGTGTCACAGACTTTGTCAGTGAAGAGGAGGAAATGAAAGGAGTGAATCACACAGAACACCACTTAGAGATGGCCCCAGCGCATCTGGATATCCGGCTGCTTTGTCTGGCGAAACAGCCATCCGCACCCGCATCCGCAGTTGCTGGCGGGTATCCCCCCGCCTTAGCGGGTATCGTTGGATACCCACCCTTTAAAGGGCAGGCAAGGCACCGGTTTCCTTCCAGCCGTCCAGGTACATCATTGCCAACTAGAAGGACCTCGCCAGGTGGAAGGAAACCCTTCCAGCCGGCCATTGGCCTTGGGTATCCCTGGGGATACCCGGATATCTGCCAGATTTGGGGGGGGGGGAAACGGCCATCCGCACCCCCAGGCGGGTATCCGCCAGCGGATAGTGCGTATCTGCAACAGATACCCAGCGACCATCTCTAACACCACTCCATCTTCTCTTTCCTCCTCTGCCTCCTGCTTCTCTTCTTTGGCTTCTTCCAATTCTTCTAACTCTCATGCTTTTTCTTCATAAAACTCCATTCACATTCAGCCTTGCTCTCTGCCTTTCTTTCTTTGTTTTCTATCTTACTCTCTCACACTTTTGCTTGATTCCTTGTCTTGTTCACTCATTCTTCTGAATCATCATCATCACTATCATGAAAAAATAACCCACCAAAAAAACTTGTTCCCTCTTACTTTCCAAATACCTTCTTTCTTCCTTCTACTCTTATTTTTGTTTGTACACTCCTTTTTTTTCCATTCCAATCCCTTCATGACCAATCTCTTCCTTCTTTTTTTATATATTCAAATCCCAAATATATAGTGATGAACTGGATCATTCACACCAACACAGATTCCAGGTATTTTTGTCTGTGAAAGCTGCATGAATATGTGCAACACTGGGTCTCTACTTTACGCTGCACTATCTGCATTATCTCAGTGATGTAGTGCACTTGATTCCTTCCCTGATACATAAACATTATCTGTAGTGGTGAATTTTTCTTTCAGCCAGTAGTGTAATGGTGAAGTTTTTGTGTGTAATGAATGGATAAAGTAATGCACTATCAGATTATCCAGAGGTTAAGCAACCCTAAACACATTTTAAGTGGCAAAAAGCCTCTCTTTTTGAGCTTTGGCAGCAACACATGCCATGAATGTCCAGAAAGTATCACATGTCTTACCAATATTTATGGTTTTTTCTTCAAAAAAAAAATCTCCAAGTTGCTGATAGTGTTATAATGAGCATGAAAAAAAATTCCAAGGAAAAATGGATAATTTAATGTGCAAGGAATTTCCAAAAATTATGGGGAAAGTAATGATAACAAGTGGAAATTCACTACTTTATCTTTACACTACCATTACGGGTAATGTAACTACCCAGTGTTGATATGTGTATGTTTGTGGACCAATGATCAAACACTTGTATTCTTTTCTCTCATCTTTAAAATACATCAGCTTTTCAAAATACATACCTGATACGGATACACAACTGTCCTGTATTTCCAATGCCATGTATTGCTTTCTTCAATTTTTTTTCAAGAGTGTGCTCTCAGCAGCTGGGAAGAATCCTCCCAGCTGTCAGGAGATTTTTTTTCTTATTTTTTTAAGTGCTGACTCACAAGCCCTTATGTGGTTTTGGATTATTGACTCCCAAAAGCTCCTGGGTGGTTCTTAATATTTATTATTATTGTTTTCTTTAGGAGTCACCCCCCAAACCCGTCAAAGGGTTTGGAGGAACAACTCCCAAAAAACTGGGGAAAAAAGATAGGGGGCTGACCGTCCCAAGGACACAGACAGTCCCCAGGATTTCCCCAAGATTTGGGAGTTGGAACTCCAAATCTTGGGAGTTGATTAACTAAGACCCATTTTGAATTTTGTGTTTGCCGGCCCAATACTATATATTCATATCATATTTGTTGACCAGGGTGATACAATGTAGTGCAGATACACTACATGTATGGTGATGCAAGTCATCTGGCCAATATCAAGCAAGGGTGCCACACTGAATGCACCCCATGAGTCAAGGGGTGCATTGACCTTATGTTACAACTCTCTTCACTTAACTCTGTGAAGTGTTTTGAATAACTTGACAACGGCAAGAGTACAAATACAATGGCCCAAAGTGTCCACAAGATCCAGATGTTCAAGCTCTGGCTTGATGTCAGATTTAAACCAAAGAATCATT